GTTATTTTTCCATCGCTTCTTTTAATAATCAGATTATTGAGACACCCTACATAGAACTGAACCTTATTGTTTCAGCCACTTTACTCATGGTGAAAGAAATTTTTTCCACAAAGAGTCAGAGCTTCCAAGTTTGAATGTAACAACCTATCTACACAGCCTGATGGAAGACTGAGATGACTAACAACAAAAATCTTCCAACAACTACATTATTTAGAAGAGATTTTCCATCTTGGAGAAGTATTTGTTCTGGGGCTGAATTACAGTTAGAAATTATCCTCTTCTAGATATGTACAAAATTATAATTAAGTATGATTGCAAGAGCAGTTCAGTTTTCCTGTGGAAGGAGGACAGAAAAATAGGAACAGTGAAATGAAACAGGGATAGCAAGAAGACAACTGAGACTAATAGACTGGATCACCAAGGAACATGGACATAGGAATGCCTAATGTTATAACACATGAGTAATTGCCAGGCTCTAGAGCAATCTTCACAATGTTGAGGGAGATACTCAATCCCCTGCATCTAGAAAACACCAAACATTTCAGCCTTCCCAGCAGCAGCGGTGCAGAAAAAGAAAAAAAAAGCAGATTTGTTAAAAGTACTGTGAAATACCAATGCTGGCAGCTACTATATTACCCTTGTCAAGAACTGAAATACATAATTTTAAGATGCAGAAAAGCCTACACTTGAATCTGGATATGCACAGACATACTGCTTCTGGCAGCTGGTACTCAAGCCTGATTCTCCAAAAACCCAAGTAACTGGAGAGACTATTGTCAATAGCATGCATTACTTGTACAAAAGCTTAAGATTTAAACCAACTCACTTGGTTATTGGAGAGTGGTGATGGGAAGTGATGAGTGTGCAGATTTTTCCCAGTGTTAACGTGGGTGAGGCGTATGGCTTGCCCACATTTCACTGGTGTCCCACGCTGGCAGCTGCTGTCACTCTTCCCACGGATCCGCCAGTAGCTGTTGGCATCATCTGAAGCTTCAACTCCTGTCACTGACTGCTGCCCACTTCCTGTTTGAGTAAAATCAAATGACACCAGACTTATCCCCCTTCCCCAGTTCAAAAAGACGCGAGCAAACTACAGAAATTTGCTTTAATGTTGTCATGCCTTCACGTTAACGAGGTGCTTAATTCTCCCAGTCCATTTACTGACTGCAAAAGGAATGCAGGTACCAAATCATCTTTCAGATGGAAGCAGTGAAACACAGCATGTGTTAGCAGATGCCAACTGTCAAAGTTCATGGTGAACACAAGAAAAAAATCTGATCCGTGACAGGTACTATTCACACATCCCACCTTTATCAAAAATACCATCAACGTCTTCGTGTTCCCCATCAGACCAACACCTCGCTGCCAAATGGGCAAGATACTGCTGAGGGCCTTGACACAGAGCAGGGCTTACCTCAGGGACAAGGGCAAAGCGCTCCTGTCACATCCAGCCTCCGGGCCCCACAGAGCAGCTGACACATCTTCCTGTCCCACAGGCTCGGCCTCCCCCCGCCCGTGCCGTGTCCCCAGCCCACCCCTACACCCATCCCTGGCCCGCCGCTTCCTCGGCACCACGGAGAGAACCTCGGGACACTCCAGCGTCCTCCGCCTCCCCACAGCCCTCACTGCCGCCCACCCCCGCCATTTCCCTGCCAGGCACGACCTGACCCCGCCGCCTCCTCGGCCCCTCACAGCCCCGGCCCCGCCACCGTCCAGCTCCCCGGCCAGGCCTTGCTCACCGGAGCCGTACTTGACCTCGTGAGAGTGGAGCCGCACGCTGTGGCGGGTGTTAAGCAATTTCAGCACCGAGCCGCAAGTCACGGCGCCCGGCGCCGCCTCCCTGCCGTGGCACAGCCAGGCTCCCCCCCCGGAGAGGACGCGGAGGAGAACTGCGGGCGCTGCTCCCTCACGGGGCCGGGCCGGGCCCGGAGCGGTGTCAGCCCCGGCTGCTGGGCACCCCCGGGGCCGCGCTGCCCCCCCTCTGCAGTTTGCCCTTGCTGAGAACGTAGGAGGAGAGGCCAGGTCTGTCGCTGCTACCCTCTGGTCTAACGTGGTCTGGGCTGTATAAAAATTACAGCCAGGTCAGGCTGAGGGATTGTTAAAGGGCCTCGGCGGAACGCGTGCTGCGGGCAGGACCGTGCAGTTGTGTCAGAGCCGGGGAAGGACACATGTCCTGCCAGAGCCAGAGCGGCCCAGCGGTCAGGCCGGGCACGGGCAGGCTCGGACCGGCCTCGGGAGCCGCCCTTGCCCTGCCCGGGCACTCAGCCCTGCTGCTCCTCTCAGGTCTGCTCCGCCCCGCAGTTCTGGCTCTTAGAATGGAGTAAATGTCTACCCATTTGGGGGATTTACAGGGAAAAGTAACACAGTGTTGAAAAACAAAGGGGAGTCATGGTTGTGAAGGGACTCGGATGATAATACATTACAGCTCTGGTAATTTCTGGATTATATTACAGCTTCTGATTATAGGGCATAAACACTATACAAAGAACTAGCAATGGTTGCTGTAACATTCAGCTGTAGCAATAATGTAACACCTTTCTTTTTGGATCCCAAAATTCACCTTCAGTGCTTCAATCTCTTGCAAAGTTCTTATAACTAAGAGATTATTAAGCTCTATTCTGTAGAAAAAATCTGCATAAATTAACACACATACAGTCCTTTATTGCGTAGTTGTGCAGACTGAAGAAATACTCCCCCCCCAAAAAAAAATCTCAATAAGAGGCAGCCATTGGCAAAGGACACTTGAACTCCTACACAGTTCTTTTTCCTCTGAAACTGCTCAGTGGGTTGACCCATGTACCACATCACAGCCGTGTGCAAGTCCCATGTAAAACTGTGACTAATTTAAAGTAATTCAAAAGAGCAAAAGATTTTGATCTTAGTGGCAAGGAAACAGGTAGAAGGGATCCCATCTTGGGACTTACATCTTTGCAATAATGGTATTTTGTCCTTGCAGCAGCAAAGAACTAAAACACTGTACTTGATATTACAAGATGATTTAGAAAGCACACTAGTGTTGCTGGGTAGTGCAAACATCATAAGATGCTCAGCTGACTCTCTCTTCCACCACTCCTGAAGCTGCAAGGTTTTTCCTGCCCATGTGATACCACTCAATCAAATGCTCAGTTTCTTTGTGCTGGCTTTGGCCTGTTTTCCATAGCTATACCTACATTTGAGAAAAATCTCTGACTTAAGTGCCAGGCCAGCATTAAAACAAGCCCAAGTACTAAACACAGGTCACATATATTCATGTCTATACACACACACACACACAATTTGCTTTCTTCAGGACTTAAAACTCAATTCACAGTGCTGGAGGTATAAAGCTTTATTCACAGAAAAGCAAAAGCTTCCCCACTGATAGTCAAATGTCATATTTTTATGTCATTCTAAGCAGCTTTGCTGTTCTAACTAAGACAGCAACAACCAGTTTCCTGATGCCAGTTTGCAGGAGGCTCTTGGCAATGCCAGGGCAGCCCTGGTTCTCGGTGGAGGCAAGTTGGGTCTGGGAGCTGTCCTGTGCTTTTCTGAATTTTGGGAGGCGCCAGCCACTCGGGGTCACAGGCACCTGGACACAAATGCTGGCCTTTTTCCATGGGAAACAAAACTCACCAGCCCAGTACTGCTTCTGTTGTTATAACTGGGGCAAAACCAGATGTCTGTGGTTGCCATTTTAGCCGTGCAAAATCAATCATATGGGGCTTTAGCTGGCACCTGTCTGTCTTTCTGGGAGGTCGCTCAGTCTCGGTGCATTCAGTGCCGTTTACACGGTGCTCCCTACAATGCTTTTCAGTCCCACTTTAGAAACATAATTGGGTTAGAACGGTTGCCAACAAAGAGCCATCAATGCCTAACACCCACGGCAATTAACAACCACCTCATTGCCACACGGCCCTCTGTTGTTTCCGGTAGATTGCTGTAAGCTCCAGGTGAAATTGCCTCAGAAATTATGTGGCTTCACCTTGGTCATGGGAACATCAACTTTTTTTGGTAGGAATCCCTTTATCATTCTTGTTTATGCACAGAAACAAAATAATTCAACGGTGCTGTAAAAGGGGAGAATGTAAAATGTGGCTACAAAGCCTTCAATCACTCAAACTCCCCCCCCTTATGCACAAGTGATTTTCAAGCATTTTGGAAACTCCTACCGTTTCCATCAGGTGCAGCTGGAGGAGTGCCAAACGCTTTTAGCATGCGGGAATGAAAAATCTGTGGCTCAAGGAAATTTCAGAGGGTGTATGCTTACCCAAAGCAACAGATTATAGAAAAAGAATATAGTTTTTATATTGGCCTTTGTTTAAGATGCTTTAAACTTTCTGTTTGCTTTGCATGACTGGAGCAGTCATTGACAACAAGACAGCAGAGCTGGCAACTCCTGGGTGTGACCTACACCCCAAAATGTACTGGTGCATCTTTTGGTACAGACAGCCCTTGATTTATGGAGAACACTGCAGCAACACCCGGGCTCTTTCTCAGACCAACACAAACCTCAGGCAAAACAGACAGGGACAGTTCTGAAGCCTTTAGTACCTGGTACAGAAACAAGCCCACCTGAGCTCTTCCATTGGCTTTTCTCTGCATCTGGTCCCTTCTCTGATGTCAATAAAGATGAATTGTACTGAACTCAACAGAGTAGCTGTAGACAATCAGGTCTGCAAAGATTCTGTGCTTTTTCTGTGTCCTTCTTTCACTCCACACTGAGGAACAGCTGGTTATAAACCTCACTTCAGATGAAACATTTGTCCCCACTGGCATGCCTTACAACAGAGCTCTTCCAACTGTGACCCCTAAGCCTCACACAAACAGTGAACAGGAGTAATAATGACAGAATGTGTCACCTGGGGAGAAATCCAAGTGATAAAAAATGGCTTGCCAAAAATGTATACAATTCCAGTTTCTTATCACTCAACCTAAGCTGTTTAAGGGTTAGATAACCAAAATACTTTACTCAGATTTTTGCATTCAGTAGATATAAACGTAACATAAGAATAAGCAGAGTAAGTAAATAAGCAGAAGACATTTGACACAAAAAGTATTAACATATACATATTTACATATTTAAATTGAATATTTTTTTCATCTGGGGGAGAAGATTTGATATTTTCTAATTGCTGTCTTCTATTTCTAGTCTTTGAGGTAGAGAAGGTTTCCTGGGAAGTTCTGCAGTCCTGGCAATGTGTCTGCCACTGTCACCATGTCTCAGCCACTGTCCTGCCTGATGCTTGTCCTTCAAGAGCAGGGGCTCTCCCCTCAGAGTGCCAGAGGAGTTAACCTGCATTTCCATTCCATCAACTGGGATTTTTCACATTTTTCAGTGATGCTGGGAGGTGACAACAATCACTGTGAGTGATCTGCCAGATGAACTTTCCTATGTAGTAATAGTGCTGAGGTGTTACTCATGTTTGCATTAATTCATTCTTTTTTTCCCTTAAGGACCTGCCTCTGGTATCTTTAATTTTTTTAATGACTCCTGATCAACATTTGCAATAATCAATAACTCTGCTTTTGTTTAGACAGTGTAAGTTGAAGCTGAGGAAGTTATTTAGAATTTGTAGGCATGGACTGGAATTGTTGTTTTGATGATCATTTGTTCTATTTTAGAACAAGAATGTGAAAATGCAATGTATGTTGCATCAGTTCAGGCAGCTTTTAAAACAACTTAGGTCTTCATGGGATTTGAAAAAACTTCTAGACATCTGTTTCAGTGGAAGGCAAATATTAATGTCATTCTGAAAATTCCACAGAACATCTATGCATCTTTTATAATAACTTTCAGAAAGGTCAAACTGAATTCCTGATGCAATCAAACAGTTAATGGAATCAGACAGTCTAGGTTTAGCTATTAATGTGCACAGTTAAACAGTACCTATTTTGGACCCATCATTTAATTGCCTAGGAGAAATATTCCCTATCTCAACTCTTTTGTGACCAGGTGGCTTTGTATATTTAATAGACTTCAACATCAGGGAAAAAGGTATCTGGAAAAGGAATGTGCAGGCTTTACATCATCTTAACCCCAGTTAGAAGTCACAGATGCTGTAGCTTAGTTCATATTCAAATATTAATTTTTACCACACATTAGACACTGAAGGAAATGTACCAGAGAGAAAATAACCCTCTGAAAAAAGGGAAAGTGGATAAAAACTCACCATCCATGAGCCACAGTATCACCAAGGACCAGAGGCCTCCTAGGTGCATCAGGAGGGATTTGAGGTTGGTGCTTTTAGCAGTCCTCCATAATTTAATGCCAAGTGTCAAGTTAATGAGAAGGTCACAATGGCAAATTCTGCCTTTCAGCCACCTTGCTAGGACCTCACACCTTGCCAGGCATTATTTTGTGCTGGTGTAAATTCAGGTTTTTCAGACATGGGTGAAGGAAGGAGACAGGTACTGCCTGCCTGTGTCACATCATAACCAGGGAAGCCTTTCACTCTTAGCAGAATGAAATCCCCCAGAGTCTGGGGGTTTCAACCCTTTTTGATGGAGGTTGGAGGAACCTGTTCTATGGATGAAAACCTGTAGTTTAAGCATTTCTACAGAAGCCACTGAACTTCAAAGATTTACAAAACCTCTGAGGCTGGGACAGATAAGAAAATGTTTACGTCGTTTCATTTAAAAAATGGATTTTACTTTCTCTCATTTCAATGCCTTTTAGAGTTCACACTTTCAACAAAATTTCATGCAAGGAAAAGACAGAGTCCTACTGTGCTACCATTGTAATCCCAAATGAGCTAACTAACTGCAGCCAAGGGAACAAGAAAAAGAAAACACTTTTTTATGTCAACGTGTAAACAGATGCCTTGTTGGAAGCAGTAATTGTTAGAAAACACTTTTGTGAAATACAGGAAGCCTCAGCATTTCTACTGATTAACTCAAAGTTCAGGCAAAAAAAATTCAAGCTCAAAAGCAGGGAAGAACTTGAAGATGGTGAGGGCTCCTGCTGGCTTTTGCAGCTAAGCTGAGGTAGGGCTGTGTTTTTAGTTAAGCTGGAAGATGCAGCCTCTCCTTAGTGCTTGTCCTGGCTTATGCAGCTCCACCAGGAATCCTGGCCAATGTGCCTGTCTTCACTGCAGAGAAGAGGCTGTCCAGAGGAAGTCTGCCTTGCCTTTGAGCTCCAGGTTGAATTTTAAGGGCTTTTCACCTCTGGGCTCTGTGGGGGTCAGCTGCAAGGCTACCCTGGCAGCCAGCTGTGAGTGCAGGCTGCAGAGGGAGCGCTGCTGCTAAGGGCATGTGCCACAGGGGCAAGGTTTGCTTGCTGGGGAATATTTGCTTCCAGTGGCAGGAAGGAGAGCTGGATAAACATATGAAATCAGAAAAGAAAAGCCTCCAGGAAGTGCATTAAATATTTAAGAAGGATGTTACTGTTAATAGCATTAAATGCATACTAAGGTTAAGAAGGCTGAGAAGCCAAGCTTTGTCTAAGATTCTTATGTTGTGCCTCTCACCTGTGCAGAGTCAGGGAGCACTGGCAGTTCTAGAAAAAGGCAGAAAACCCCAGAGTTTGCATTGGCAAAGAGAGGAGGTGCTTATTTTATGATTCATGCCATTACTTCAGAATTGTGCTGACTTCAGCTGTTGCAGAAACAGCACTCATCAGTAAGCGAAGCCTCTTGGGGAACGTGGGCAGGCTGTGACGTTCATCTCCCAGAAGGGGAAGCAAGGAGCAGGTGCACAGATATCCTCTCTGAAATGCCAAGGGCACTGAAAACCTTTACAGAACATCAAAAACTTGTCTGTAACAGAGCCATACAACTATCAAGTAACAGAAAAGCTCACAGGAATTGCCTGAATGAAGATTTAGCAAGTTGTCTACAGCATTTTAGCATGATCTGATTTGAATTTCGTTTCATATAATTCTTTTCTAAGAGAAAATGTCACTGAAGAGGCAGAAGGCTGTCTTCCAGCTCTCACCATCATTTACAGTAGTCATTGCTCATTTACATGAGCAGGGAAGAGCAAGAAAGAATAAGTGACAACAGCTGATGTCCCCTCTTGGTGCAGCAGAAGTCTCCTGTGCTCCCAGTGCTGCCCATTTTGGGGCCTGTAGGAACCAAATTCTACCATGAATAATATTGCTACCACCTATTCTGATTTTATTTTTCTCCTTCAAAGTAGCAAAATAAACTTACAAATTATTGTCCAAAACTTAGCTGCCCCTCAAAGTGCCCTCAGGCTAATGGAAACAAAGTTTGGTAGCAGTTTGCTACATGGACTGCAATTGATGAGAGCCTAAAGATCAACAGGGCTGAAACCTACCTCAACTCAGTGATTCCAAATTCCTTGTTAGGTGACAGATCTGGAAAACCACTACTCCTACAGGTGTTCATGCCCCCAGACAGATGTTTCAAACTTCAGGTGTGAAAAGGGTGCGATTTCCTCAGCTGAAGTGTGCTTCTGTCTCCAAACTGATGGTCCTTGCTTTGCTGAAGATGGTCAGTCTCGGGCTGTGCCTACAAGTCATGTCCTTGACTTTGGGGCAGGGGCTCGCTCGCTGTCTTTTAGGAATTGAACTCTGCTGAAAAAGGAGACACCTGGAGGCTTTGGTTTCTTTATACATTCTTTATACATAAATTAAGCAGCAGGATTGTCAGCCCATTCCCACAGAAACGATCCTTAAAGCCTTTTCCAACCCATTTCACTCCAGCTGCTCTTCCAGGAAGCCGGTGCTTGGCTTGTCAGCTGCTTCTGCACTTACCCCCATGCTGGCACAGGTTCAGAGGTGGAGATCACCATCATCCATGGAAGAGTCTAGTCCCAGTATGATCCCCACCTCCTGGAACAAGTTACAGCAGACATCAAGACAGCTACCCTGGATCCATGCACATGTTACCACGGCACTTCCCAAGCTGCCATTCTCCCTACCTCAAACATGAGCTTGTTGTTTCTCCTGCAATATCAGAAACGGGTGAATGTTTTGGGATAGCACTACAGACCAAGAAGGGGTTGTTCTGCTTAGATACAACTTCATCCTCTTCCACAGGTGAAAAATACAGGCTAACTGTATCTTCCACTCTCCATTTCAAGCTGAGTATTTGGCACTTTCATTCTGGTAGATCCAGAATAGCTTTTCTGCAGTAAGAAAAAGCAGTTTAATGCCAGAACAAATAAGATTCTACATGCAGCCTGATGAAGAACTGGCTGCATCCAGCACTGAATGACAGCATGTTAGAAGCTGCCCTTGGTGAAACTCTCATCTGCTCTCCCTGCCCTTCTCTAGCCCAGCACCAAGAGCCATGGGACATCCTGGCCAGGGTTTGCTGCCCTGCAGCTCTGAAGTCAGACTGAGGGTACCCTGCAGCAAACCAAGGTGGGGAAAACAAGCAAGTGGCTGCTGTGACGGTCCCTGGCTGCAGGGTTACATATCCGTGGCATCAGGGGGATCATCAGTTTTGCGCTGAAGCCAGCGCAGAGCACGGTCTTGCTTGTCCCACCCTGAGCCACAGGCGGGTCTCACCTCGGGAGTCTGGAGCAGCGACCGCCACGGAGAGCGGCGCGGGTGCCCCGGGCGGGCCGTGCCGTGCCCGCGCTCCCGCCGCAGCGGCAGGGCACGGCCGGGCCCCCCGAGGCCGCTCCGTGCCGGCTCTCCCCGGGGACACGGCCCGCTCCCCTTGCGGCCGCGCCCCATGGAGCCGGCATCGGTGGCCCAAAGGCGTCACGGCTGCAGGGTTGCCTCAGGTGATCCGCACCCGTGCCATTTCACCGGGCACCGCGGGCGAGGGTGGGCCCGGGATGGAATTTGACCCTCTGACGCACCCTGCATGGATCGAATCATCCCGGGCAGTCCCCGAGCTTCCGCACGCTGCTCAGCGCCAGCGGTGCACGGTGCACGCCGGGGTTTGGCCCCGCGGGGGAGGGCACGGCTGGGGCTGGCAGGGAGGAGCGGGCAGGGACGGTGCGAGCCCGCCGGCCACACGCACATCCTGCCCCGTGCGAGCCGCGAGACTGCGGCGGGCTCAGCTGGAGCAGGAGGGCTTAGTCAGGGGCTGAGTCACGGCTGGGTTCGCCCGCGGTAAGCCTGTCTTTTCCTGTTTGCCCGAGATCTGCAGGCTGCCGAGTGTTCCGGTTTAACCTCCTGTTACTTTTTTTTTTTTTGCCAGGGATGACATCTAAGGATGCTTCAGGTGAAGTTAATAATAACTGGAGATGACTTCGGCTATTGTCCTCGGAGAAACCAAGGCATTGTGGAGTGTTTCCTGGCTGGTGCGGTGTCTAACGTGTCCCTTCTAGTCAACGGAAGTGCTGCAGCAGATGCAGCCAAGCTGGCAAGGAGGTAAGCTACTTTCTTTAGCTCCTTTGTGGACAGCCTCCACGAAAAACCAAGCCTGGAAAAATTAGTATTTTGTAGCCGCAGAATAAACACTGTATCATAGCTCAGGCTGGTATAAGAAAACTGTATTCAGACACATTTACTAAGACTCCTCATAGTAAAACCAGTGATCTGCTAAGTAATACAGTAATGGTCTTTCTCTAGTATTGGCCACTGTGCCTTTTCTCCCCCTCAGGACAGAAAGCCATTTCCATTTCCATTATTTGACTAGTAGAATTTGGGTTTGTCAGACTTTCTCCTTCCACACTTCTAAAAATGCATCATCAGAAGGAAAGTACACATTATGTACCTAGACCAATCTGCTACCCCTAAAAGTATAAGAGCATAAAAGCACAAGTCTTTAAATCTCATTTGATTGATCCATTTCACCCAGGCTGAGCACGAGGTCAGCCAGGCTCATTGCAGAATCAGGCAAAGGCTGTGATTCTGCAAAGGCTTATTTATAAAACTGGGCAGTGGAAAACTTGACTTTTCCCCCACCCTGTAAAACTTTTTAAAAAAGCACAGCAATATTTCTATTAATTCTGTCCTTAATAAACATATCTGCAAAAATGCATACATAATAAAAGGGACAATACCTTGTACCTGCCACCTTTACTTCTTCACCAACTTCAGAGGCTGCTGGCATAGGTAGCTCTGCAGTGGATTAAATGCTATGTGGAAGTCTCATGGTCTAGTCCAGCAAATCCTTTAATAGGAAGCATTATTTGTGTTTAGGAGGTAAAACCCAGCTAATGCTTCAGCTCTGGTGTGGGCAGGTGCTTGGAAGTAGGAATATCTCCTGAAAGAGAGAACATCAGGGTTGAGAAACAATTTAGAACAGCAGAAAAGGAAAGGAGCTGTACTGCTGCTAAGTGAACTGAGACATTCTGCTTCAAGCACAGCTGCTGAGTTTCATGAGAGTCCTGCTGACCTTGTTCTCACTGAGCATCTCTCCTCAGTTTGCTGTGGTTTTAGGGGTACTTGAAAATTGCTGATAGCTTCTTTGGAGTAGGGTGGTGGAGGAAAGCCAGGGTGCTGTGCTAGTGGAAATCTAGTCTGTAAAAAGGCTAGAGATTCCCCACAAACATCGAGGGAGGAACTGCCTGGGAATGAGAAGGGGAGAGGCACAACACCAGTAAGATTCCTAAAATCCTATTAGTAAATGAAACATAGAACAGAGATAAAGCCAGCACATCTCTCAGACACACAGGCACTGTGAAACCCTTTAAGCCCCAGTGGTGTGGTAATGTTGTCAGCTATTTTAGCCACGGTCTTTAGCAGGCTTTTAAAATAGAATCCACCTGGCCTCATTTCCATGGCCAGGAAGTAGGCCATGTAATCAGGGGTTTGAAACCCATCTTTGAATCCAGGTCATGACACTGGTGCTGCCAGCTGATATGGGTGTGAAAAGCCAGGTTGGAGGGCAGGGGACAGCAGAGGCTGCAGCCTGCTGCTACAATTTGATTTTTTTTGGGAGGGAATGTAATTTTGAATTGTTAGTGTGAATGAAATGGATTTAAATCAGTTTCTGAGCATATAAGCAGGGTGACTTTGGGAATGTCTGCCAGCTCTGAAGATCAGCAGCCCAGGTGCTCCAGTTCCTCCTTTGTGCAACTCCCTGCAGGTGTATTCACCCTACCCAGCCCTGGCAGGAGCATTAGCAGGTGTGGAGAAGAGGTTTCCTCATGTTGTAATGCAGGCCCAGCTAATTGGCACCTGTGTGTGTAAACAAACCCTGTGTCACCCCGAGATGTTTGTTCATGTTACAAAGGCTGATGCAAACTCTCTCTACCCAGATGACAAATAGGTCACACTTGCTAGAAATGTCATTGAGGTCTCATCTTGTGGTGCAGAAATGGGAAAGTGTCACTTGCTTGACTGCCTTGGCAATATTCCCTCTTTCCCCTGCTTGGTGACATCTCCCATCCCACTGTAAATATTGAGGCTTTTTATACTATGGGATGAAAGTCTGCCTGCTGGTTTTTTTCTCCTCATGTTTGTCTTCCCCTATTCAGCCTTGACCAGTGCCATAAGCAGGAAGAGTGGATCTATCCCCAGCTGAGAGAAGAGGCTTGGAGCAAGTAGCTTTTCCTTTCTTGGGGCACATTTCAGTGCTGTGGAATTTGGTCTTTCACACACATGGTGCCAGGATTGTCAGAATGATGGACTGCTTTTATGGCTTCTTGATAAACTGTCTATTACATGATTGCTTGTAACTGCAAGTCTTAAGCTTTCACTCCTCACCTGGTTTTAAGTTAATTGGACACAGGCAGAGTTAATTAATAAGTAGACAACTTTTCCTTCCTAAGCACCTCATGCTGCCCTACAATGTTAGGACTCAGTATCCTTAAGAAAGGAACACAGTTCCTCTGAAATGTCTTTCTTCCTTTCATTTTCATAATAATCCTGTAGTTTCTGGGTATACCATCTGTTGCCCTAAGTGTTGATTAAAAGCCTTGGCAGACATGTGATGATAGTCAGCAGATCTTTGTAGCAGCTCTAACACAAGGCAACTGCAGAACAGCAGAACTAAGCAGTAAAAAATACACCTTCCTTAACATTCAGGCTCAGCACCTTGGCCTTTCCTCATCCACTGTCACAACTGGGCTGAAAGAAGGGGCATGCTCATTTCTGGCAGCAGAGAAGTTTCAGCAGAGGTCTGATCCATCACCAAATGACAAACCTATTGATAGCATCTGCCAGGGCAGAACATAACCAGAGCAGCAGGTGGGAGAACAGACTGCCATTGTGGGTTGAGGGTTTTTTCAGTAACTCAAAACTTTTCTCTTCATGGGGCCTTGACTGACTGTGATTTCCTGCTTATCCATATAATATAATCTCAATTTTCTACTTAACAGGCCCTGCCTTGAAGTCAGCCAGACTTCCTGGTGATTATTCCAGAGCCTTTCCCTGAAACTGGGAGGGTTATTTTGTAACCTGAAATGAAGAGATGCCTTAATTTTTCCTTGGAGATAGAAATAGAGACATCTAAGACAGTTTGCTGCTATATCCTCCCACCCTTCCCCTTTACATCAAACAGCTCAGGTGTCACTGAGCCTTAGGACCTTTTTCCATTTGTGTCCAAATAGCTTATGAAGAGTGACATATTTTAGAACACAGCCTCAGTCTTCCTGGGTGTTTTTTTGCAGTTTAAATACTGAACATCAGCCAAAGCCCCCACAACATCTGGGTACATGTAACAGAGGGATCTAACAAAGCCACATTTAATTACTCTATGTTTTAACTTTCTTTCCCATCAGCACTAATTGCAAAATGTGTGTGTAAATTGTGACTTAATTCTGACCCTCCTAGTTAACATCTGACTAATTTAGAAATCTCTCATGCCTTCTCATCAACCCTTGTGTGTGACTGTTAATCACACAGCAGACAGTTCCTCTGCTGAGCTGTTTGGATAGGGGTGGGACCCAATCTGAAGCCTTACACTAGAATCCCAGATCACACTGACTTCCTTGGCAGCAGCCCATTTCACTGATGCAAGGCTACAGACACAGGAGCTGCACTTGATGCAAAGATGCAGTGACAACAGAGACCTGGGTCCCTAAGCTGTGTTACAGCACCAGCTCTCAACACTGCAGAGGCTTTAGAGCATTTCTGGCGGAAGAAATAGGTTTTTAGCAGTAATAGAGCAAGAAAATATGCTATTTGATGAAAGACAGGTATTACTGAATGGTAAAAGTGTGTGTGAGAGAGTATACAAATGCCAGCATGAGGAAACTAAGAAGTGCACATTTTTACTCAAAGCCTTGCTTTGTCTGGCTTCAGACACTTGGGTGTTCACTGAAGTGAGATGATGAGATACAGATACTTACACGAGGCTCCAGCTTGGGTCACACTTGGGCTGAAACCTGATGATCAGCAGGTTCCTGGATGACACAAATAGGTGTTGAAGGTGGGATCTGTTTACCCATTAGGGGAAAGGGTGAAGTGCCATGCTTATGCCAGAGCATCCAGCTTTCAGCAAGGCAATTGGAACAGTGCTTGGCAAATCCCACCATTCCCAGAGCCATGGAGCTGTGCTGTGGCATGGCCAGGCAGCACCCAGGACACTGGCACTCATCCACCCAGCACAGTGACTCAGGGCAGTGCCCACCTCCAGGGTCACTGAACAGGGATTGCAGCTGCACATTGCCTCAGCAGAGACATTTATTCAGAGCACTCGTGTGGCAAAACAAGCAACTACTTGAAAAGGAAGCAGTTTAAGCAGTTTAACTTACTGTATTTCCTCTCTCTTTGATAACTGGACTGGGTGTGCTGACTCAGAAATCTTTCCAGGGTGAATTCCTTCTAGCACCTGCTGTAAGGATATTTCCTCCTGCACAAGTCTCTCCTTTTTTTCTCCCCACCTCTACAGAGAATGCTGAGAAGAGACCCACAGAGGTAACAGCCAACTTTCAGTGCAAACAGCTCTCCAGTGCATTGACCTCTGTGGTCTGAACCTCTTCTAGAGCTCTCAAGCAGCTCAGTCTAACTCCTGCTGTAGGAGCACTCACCTGTAGCCAGTGTCCTCTGCCTTTATCAGGAGTGAACTCCTCTGCTAAATCCTGCTTCATCTCTGCATTCCCTGGGCACTGGAACAGACTTGCAAACTCTCCAAACAGATGGGAAGGGTCATTGCAGCTTAAAAAGAGTCTCTAAAAAAGATTTAGGGACACCAAGTAGATTCTTCACATCATTTTGTTTTGGCAATGGTAGCTGTGTGCAGAAACAAAACCGTTGCCTGAAGCCCAATGCCAATCCTTTTATTTTGTATCTTGTGTGAGCAATTAGCAGTTAATGACCAGCAGTGACCAGCAGGGCTCACCCTGTCCCATCTGGAAAGGGCTTGGGCAGAGGAGTGTGAGGCCAAACCCACAACAGCTGAGCTCTGGTCCCAGGGCAGCATCACATGCTGTGTAAGCTGCTTGAGCTGCTGCTCCCTGCTTCAGTATTTCAGCCAACAAATTAGCAGCTATTTTACAGTCTTTTGAAAGATGTGGGCAACTACAAAGTATATTTCTGTAGCAGAAACAATCATATGTGCTCTGAAAAGTGGGGCCTTTTAGGATTTTGCTGCACCTTGACTTTTCTCCCTGCGAGCTTGCAGTAGAACTCTGCTGTACCTCCTGATCTGTCCTTCTCCTTACAACCCTCCAGCATGCCTTCTTCTGTGCACCCCCCACAGATGAATATTTCTGAACAAGTTTCTCATGTGCAGCACTTTGAGTTTTGCTTTCAGTGCCTCAGTCCCAGAGCCATTAAACACAAGCAGTTACTCTGCAGATGCCTCAGCATGCACAGTCTGTCAAACCAGGACTGACTCCACCAGAAAACTATTAAGATATTCAGCTGGTGTTAGGCAAGGCTCTGAAACATGCTCTAATGTTACAGTCAGGGTCTCCTCTTACCCAGGGACAAGGCCAGCTCTCTCTGCACTTCCACATTGTGCACATTCCCCAGCTCTGGGGCTGGGTTTGGCCCTGGCCAGGAGCTGCTCTCATGTTCCTCAGGGCAGCCCTTGGCTCCTTGGTGTCCCACACCTGTCAGAAGCTCCTGGAAACAGCCTCCCTCACAGCATTTGAGGCATTGCACAATTGGAGGCAGTTCATTTGATGCTCCTGGGAGACAACACTGAGAGGCTCAGCTGTTCATTTCTTGCCCTCCCACAACACATGAGGAAGAGAGTACTCAACAGAAAAAGTCCATCTGCTGATTCATGGTAACACAGGAATCCTTTTTTTCTTGCAAGCAGCACTGGCTGTGGTATAAATAATACTCCAGCTGAGGCAGTAAGAGCTTCCCAGAGACAGAATAAAGAATCTCGGGTGGATTTCTAAAAGAAAACCCAAACAAAACCACAGGCTTCCCCTCTGCCTTTGGACTAGTGCAGGGTGCCCAGCTGGTCATGGATGGAGGGGAACCCTCCTGCCTCAGCACCCCTTGTGCCCTGTGGCTGCCTGCTGTGCTGCCCTGCAGCCTGTCACCCCATCACCCCAGTGACACTCCTCCCACGTGTTGTGTTAGCCAGGAGTTGGTGTGCACATGTGCTCAGGCCCCACTGGGATGAACATTTATCATCAGTGAAACAATCGGGCCCTGCTGCCCAGAAATCACCAGATCAGAAAAGCCAGAGAGGACCTTTATCTCCACTGGAGCTGTTTTGCTCCATTAAACATTCCAGCTCCTTAATCACACAATGGACTAATTTTGTTCCACAGAGCTGTGCATACGATTTAACTCCTAACATTTATGTCTTTGAGAAGTAGCATCTAGCAACTGACTGCACCATCTACCTGGGTCACAAGACATGGAAGAGCCAGGAAAAAAAGGCTTTCAGTCCTTCAAGGGCCAAAGCCTTGGGACCTGAATGAGCTAAATGGCTCTGACTTGGTCCAGTCCCTCCACAGTCCTGTCTGCAGTGGGCTGGTGCTTCACCAGTCAGCTTCAGATGTCAGACAGGGGCAAGGTCTCAGTTTTGCACCCTGTGCCTCAACGGAGATTGTTTTTGTTTTCTCCTTGTGGTACAAGGGCTGTGTCAGGGACAGACCACACCCACTTTTAGCAGCTCCGTGCAGAAGTTCCAAGAAGGATTTAAAGCATCACAGACTTGTTGCCTTGAAATTCACTCTGCACCATGACTCAGACTGGGCAGCACAGATGGAACATTGCAGCTCTGTCATCCACTCACCGGGTCAGCCAGAGGCCACGGCTTGTCTTGGGAAAACTTTCAAAGCATCATTTTGGCTACTGATTCTGAGGATTTCCAGAAATGCTAATGAGACCCAGCACAAATCCAAGCATGCACAAGTCCTGTTCTCATTGTAGGGGAATCCAAGCACAGACCAAGAAGGAAACACCAGCACTCTGCTGAGCCCTGAGGGCAGCTCTGCAGCCACACCAGCTCCATAGTTCCTTTTCTTTTTTTCCAAGAATCTTACAGTGTGCAACTGGTAATCAGTCATACCCCTGTGACTCCCTAGCCAGGCTCTGCACCTCACTGTGGCCTCCTTGCACTACTCCTGCTCTGGCTGTGCCAGGGAGATGCTCTGTACAGCCACTCACTGAGTGACTGCTCCTGCAGACAGAAGCCTGGCCACTGCAGGCAGTTCCAGCTGCAGCCCCTTGTATTTACACCTGTAGCCTGTGCTGTTGCCATAACAGCTTCCTTGGGCACTGCTTAGGTATAAATAACTGGATTCTACTGAAGGGCAGCTTTAGGAGTCATCAAGAGAAACTCAAATATCTCATAAATGTACCATCTTTAACAGGGTGAACAACTCAAAGGGATACCTGGCAAGGGCTAGTGGAGCACTTTAGAAAAAGCTGCAAGATCTGGATTTTTCAGTTGGTTATCAGTGACTGCAGTTCCTGCAGTGCAGTTACAGCATTTAGCCCAAGATACCTCGTGCTGGAGCCAGGGTTTGGGGGCACTCACAGGCTGGCCCTGGGTAGAGTGCTCAGGGTTCTTACCTGGAGATGCCTGCTCTGGTTGGGGTCACTCTGCCATCCTTTCTGGCAGAGCAGAGATTCAAAGATGTACTGCAGTGAGTACTGCAACACCTCTAAGATCAGTCTGGTTCTTACACTTTAATCTCCCCCTCTCTGACCGCAGTGAGGGAGGGGCAAAGCTTGGCAGACATTTCACTCTCTTCCAGATACAACATCCCCATAGGCCTGCATGCCAACCTCTCCGAGGGCTCCCCTGTGTGTGAGGTGCTCAAGACAAACTCTTCTCTGCTCAACCAGGATGGATTCTTCCATGGAAAAATGGGATTCAGAACAGCTCTGTCAAAAGGTCTCCTGAATATGTCAGAGGTAGGAGAAAGCCACATACAGTTTGTACCTTCCTGATACAAATCAGCCTGCATTTATCCCTGCATTTATCCCAGATCCCAGCTATGAGTAGGCTTAAAGATGAGCCCTGCTCGTGCTGCCTGTGCAGCTTGAGCTGCTCTGCAGCCTTTGAGAACCCACTCCTCCCTGATTCAGTGCCTGTATACACTGTTAACTATTTATCTGAGGAGGTAGAAGGGGCATTGGGACAGGTTTTTACAAAGAACCTAGAGATCAGTAAAGAGTAAATGACAGAAAAGTCCTAAGTAGGTACCAGGCTTTTCATCAGCTTGTGAGAAGTTTTGGTCCTCTAGGGAGGTGGCTGGTTTTGTCCCATGAGCAAGGATGAACATGCATTTTAAACTGCATCCATTTTAAACAGAAATGGGTGTTCAAATACCCTCTGTCTTCAAAACATCCCCATGAGCAGTGCCACAAAGAGCCCTGTGCCCAAGGAGGCTCTGGGTAGCCCAGCAGTGCTGCACATCCCTGTACACCCACAGCCCAGAGCCACAGCCCTGTACACCCTCTGCTTCCCAGAGCTGGGTCCTGCCTCCTGCCTGTGGGCTCCCTGCAGCCCCTTCACTCACCTGCTCTCAGCCTCTGCCAGGTCTTGCTCTGACCCTTTTGTGCTGCACAGGTGAAGCAGGAGCTAAAGGCCCAGGTGGAGCTGTTCCAAGAGCTGACAGGTCACCTGCCTCCTCACATGGATGGGCACCAGCACGTCCATGTTCTCCCAGGTAAGAAGGAAATCTCAGCACCAAGCAGGTGAGAGAGTGAGCTCAGAGGGGACTCCCCCTGCCACAGCTCCCCCACCACGAGACACCTGCTGGCAGCTGCAGTTTGAGGGTTCCCACCTGGCCCCACAGTCCTGCCCAGACCCAAACCCTGCTTGGAGCCCTGGGTCCTCCCATAGCAGCACCAGGACATGAATGACACAAATGGCCAAGGTTACACCTCTTCCTCCAAGGCTCAGTAATTCTCCTCAGCACCCTAATTCCATGTTCTCACCCACACTGAAGGAGGCAGACCAAAGGCAGCAGCAGACTGGCCAGTTTAAACTGCAATGTTGGAGCTTGCAATAGCTGGTGGCTCTTTCAGGTGCTACAAGAATTCCATCCTGTCCTTTGTGTTCCCACCCCAGTCCCTGCCTGCAGGTCTCAGTTTTAGAGATGAGCAAGGATCTTTTGTCCTTCTTTTGCAAATGAAGTTATTGTGGTACAGAGATGGAAAATGGAGTGAGAAAAGAATGCAGGTTTTCCCACTCCAGTACTAACTGCCTCCAGGTAACATTGCTCTGGCTGTGCAAGGACTTGATGAAGAATTTGTTCCTGACACTGCAGACACCTCTGGTGCACTCTAAGACCAGAGTCACTCACTTAGAAGGGGGCTGGACTAAAGGCTCAGTGCTGAAAGGAAGAATGACAAGGCACCTACAGCAGAAGTTCAGGGAGAAATGTTTCCAGTATAGAAGGTGACTCCCATACAGATGGATTTCAGCAGAAGATAAACCAAATGGAATTTTATTTTCTTAAACACAGAAAGGAAAGAAGCCTCTGTGCTGACAGCTTGCAGGGGACACGAGAAGCTGCTTATCCAACTCCTGACTGCAGTTCTGGTTTTGCTTCCAGAGGTCAGGCATGTCTTTGCAGAGGTGTTAGAGGAATATGGCATTAAGTACACACGTGTGCCCATTGAGCCAGGCCTTCAGAACTGTGACTGGATTCCACCATCCCTGATGGACTTTTACCTGGGAGTAGAAGAAGATTCTTTTAACACAGTGGATGTGTTTACAAAGCATGGAATAAGGTAAGACAGGTATTACTCATCCTTTTTTCTAGTAAAACATTAAGATTGTATCGGTTCCTGATAGCATCTTCCAAAAATGGAACACCATCTTTCTCTTTCCTCTTTGGACTTAGAGAAAGGTTCAGGAGGAGCACAAAAGTGCCTGGGGCACAAGGGCTTAGGAAGTTTTGTTTGAACAGACATGAGTCACTTTCCACTTGAAAAGGAATGTTCTATTCTGCTTCTCAGCCTTTCTAGTGGAGCTGCATCAGCCCAGCATCTGGAATACCAGGAGAAATGCTGCATCAATGCTGGAATTTTAAAAGTATTATCTAAGGAAAGCATTTAAGAACTAATTTTTCATCTTCCTGTTGTAGTAGAGAAAGTTTTAAGTAGCAGGAATGAGACTAATTAGAAGCAGGTATTTGTTAAGGGAAGCTCTGAGAGCTGGTAGCACCACAGCTGTGATCACTGCTGTAAGCAAACAGCCCTTGTCAGTGTCCTGCACCCGAGGGGCCAAACCCTGCAAGCTCAGCCCTTCCCCCAGTAAAACCCTTCTCTTAAAAGCTTGGACAGTGTTTTATGGGTTAAAGGCCTTTCAGTAGAGACCCTTGCAGTCACCTGTCCTTTGGGGCAGATGTCATTACTTCCTCAGTCCACTGGAAACATTATCTTCTGGGATTTTTTATTTTTTTGGTATCCCCTTCTCAAGAACAGCTGAGCTGGGCTCTTCTGTGATCATTGAGATAAAGACTCCAGCCTTGATTTCTTCTGAAAACATTTTCATTCTGCCCTCACGTGCAGTGTCTCAGCTCTCCTGGACTTGTCCAGGCCACACTTAGAACTGACACAGCCAGACTTGAACAAAGAATGTGTGAAGCTAAGAACCAGCATGTAGGTGGTGTCCTCTAGGAGTAACATTTTGTCCAGTCATTATGGTTCTTTGATGTATTTTGGCAGAATTCTTTAGCTGCGTGGTTGCCATTTTATTTCAGTCACTTTTGTTTCTACTTAGCTGAGGGTTATTATTCAGGCTTAATTAATTTTGATAGTGTGGCATTTCTCAGTGTAGCACTGCTCTTTGCTTTTATTTGGTACAGTAGAATGTACCTGTGAGCTCACAGATGCCAAACACAGTGCTGGGGCTGTGCTGGGCCTTGCTGTTCCTGCAGAACTGCTGCTTGAAATAGGATCCTGGTTTCAGTCGGAAAAAGTCCTGGTTTTACTTTTGTTTATAGTTAAAAGTTTTTTAAAACTCCTCCCAATTTTATATCTTAAATTTTAGGTAAATTTTGATCCCTAATCCACTGGATGTAACACAATTCTCTGCCTGCCTCTTCAGCACTAACAGCAGCGTTCCCTCCTGTGGCTGCAGGTGGCCAGACATTTACATCGGCCTGAGCACCATGGGCAGGAACATGTCTGTGAGCAGCGTCCGCAGCGCCATCGACAGCGCCGTGCTGCAGCTCTCGGCCGGGGCCCCGCGGAGCAGCGCCGCCATCGAGCTGATGGTGCACCCGGGCTACCCCAGCGTGCCCCCCGTCGGGGGCTGCGGGGAAGGACCCGACGACTTCTCACAGTCCTGGGAACGCCTCCATGAGCTCCAGACGTTAATTAAGCCAGAGCTGCAGAGCCATTACAAAAGCAGGAACATTCAGCTGTGTTCATTCAAAGATCTTTAAATAAATGAGCAGACATCCATCCATCCATCCATCCATCCATCCATCCATCCATCCATCCATCCATCCATCCATCCATCCATCCTCTGAAGACAGGCAATTGCTAACATCCAGAGAAACTCACTGTTATCAGTGTCACAGTCCCTGAACAGCTCACAGGAGCTGTGAACAGCCTGGGAATGGACACCACCACCCTGTGAGCAGCTCCAGGCAGTACCCCAGAGCCCCAGCTGCAGTTTTAAGGCCACAACATCTGCTCAAAATGTGCCAAACTCCTCCTGTGACACCCCCTCCACAGTGCCCCAGTGCAGCACACGCTCCCAGGGCTCGGCTCCTGCCAGCAAAGGAGCAGCACAGGGACAGAGCTGGCTGTGACCCTGCAGCACAGCACCCTGAGGGGTCTGAGCCCTTCTCCTTTCAGACTCGACGGCAAAACAAGAGCCCTGCTGGGGAGCGGGTGCTGCTTTGGAGCCCCTCCACTCGTACCTGCTCAGTGACAGTGAGGGCTGCAGGGGCAGGTGAGGGCTGCAGGGACACGTCACCCTCAGAGCCTTCCTCTGGTCACAGCAGTCGGGTCACCTGTGGCCCAGCAGGGTCTGCAGCCACCTCCCGGAGCCGCCTCAGCCCGCAGGAATTGTGTCTGCCTGTTTACGTTGCCTCTTGGTGTTAAGCCCCCCCGTAGCTGTAGCCCTTTTGGAGAGGCTTCTTTTTTGGATGACTTTGCAGGAGCAGCAACTGTTGACCCATCTTCTATTTCAGTAACTGCTGTGTATGAGAGCAGCAGCAACTGCTCCTGCACCACCCACTGCCCCTCAGGAAACCACGAGCACGGCTGTGAGCGGAGAAGGTCCCTGTGTTTGTCCCTTTTATTCCTGTCACCAGAGCATTCAAGGTCCAACAAGTACCAGTAGTGCTGTGTTATGTTCTGAACTGCAGCCCTGTCATTCCTGTAAGGACTTTCACATGGGGAAAAATTCTCTGCACAAGAGTGATCTATTTAACATAATTGGTTTTGCTAACCGTATTTTTTAATATAAAAAATATCAGTATCATCATTATTCTTTTAAATGAAAAATAAACTCAGACCTTTTCTATTGCAAAGCTTCAGGAGGCTTTTGGGTTTAATTACATCTCATCAGTGAACTAATCCCACTCACCTGTCTGCTCCCACGTCGCTGGAAGGGCCTCCCTTTCTGTCATTAATGGGAACTGTCTGACCTTTCCTGTAACACGTGGAAGTTTTTGTCCTGTACAAGCAGGAAATGAAGGATGCTGCAGAAAGTATTTTCCCCGATTCTTTCCTCTATTACACGAAGTGCCGTCGATGCCTGAGCCGGGCCCCGGCGGGAGCAGGCCACGTTGCCCCTGGCGAGCCCCGGCCCCGAAGCCGCTGCCGGGGGCACCGGGACCGGAGCGCTCACCCTGCCCGCGCCACCCCGCGCCCCCCGGGCCGCACTGCAGCCGCTGCTGGAACAGCTCCAAGGGTGTGGAACTGCCACCGCGTCCTCACGGATGCTTTTAAACCTTATTGTAAACATTTGAAGTGCCCCGTGTTCTAAGCGCTGGGCTGGCTCTGATCGCACCCATCAGGAGTTACACACCTGTGGGATTTTGCATGCATCTCCTCACAGCTGAGCACTGGAGACCTGAGGGCAGCCTTTACCTGAGCACTGTACTGCAAAAAAAGAGATTTTGTAAATTCGTTGTTTTTAAATGAAGAGCATTAAACCCCAAGTTTACGTTTAATTAGAGAAATGAATAATGAAATACTAAGACTATGCAGTAGGGAACCTTTCAATTGCGTAAGAGATAAGGAGAAAAGGAAATTTCTCAGTAGTTCTGTGAAAGCTTTAAAGACAACCCAAGTTGAAATTAAAACACTACTACAATCCCAGTTAATTCCCAGACCTCTGAAAATAAAACCATGCCACAAAGCCTTTGAGAGCAATTTTTATTAGGGTAGCAGAATGGACTTGCAGAAAGCCTATACCAGTACTCCTGGGTGTAGTTTCACCAGTGCGCTGCTTTCATTGTGGATGTTCAACTGCACGTTTAAAATTCAGCATGGCTTAGGGAACCAGAGAGAACAAGAGCTTGATTTCCTGAGTTATCTTAGGACTTCGCACTTGGATTTCTCCTCCTCAGCCTTCAGCCACACAGGTGCCGGATCCCTTTGTTCAGAGGCTGCCCCAGAGCTTTGTTTACACATCTCACAGTTTAGCAATTGGACTATGAAGAGCACACCAAGAGAAGTGAGAGCGAGCTGTCCCGTGTGAGCTCTGCAGCAGGACGGGCTCCCCGGGCTCGCAGCCCTTCCTCCCCGCCCGCCGCAGCCAGCACAGCCGGGCGCAGTCTTTGACCTGAGAGGCTTTACAACCACACGGTAACGACTGAGTAGCAACGAGGGCAGCAAACTAGTGCTACAGTTTGGTTTCAAATAAAATTTAGAGAATGGTAAGTTTCCATGCCAACAGACATGATCAAAGGTACAGTGACTCAGGTGATGCAGAAGTTACACACTTCGGTTTGACAGATAATTTGGCATTACTTTATTATGAATCTGAGTGAGCGTGAATGAAACAAAATCAGTACCAACTTTCTGCAAATGAAGACACAAAGATGTGAAAATTTGGTAATAGTGCTCTCACAAGCCTGAAAACACTTAGGAAATGCAAGTTTCCGTAAATAAGGTGAATGTGGTTTAACTTTATTTACCTGCCAAAGAATCTGTCTAAGAACACTTAAACATAAAATTTCTTAGCTCCCTAACTCATAAAAAAATTTACTTTCAACAGAGGTGAGGTACTGGGCTGTCATTGTTTACACTAAATTGGAAATGAAAGCCAGAGGAGAGGGACGAATAAGGAAATAGCAAATACACAAGACATTAAAACCAAGAGAGATCTACTGCTTGACACACTAGTTCTGAAAGGTTGCAAAGGCAGAGGCTGTATTAAAACTGAATTTAGGACTACAGGCAACCACCTAGGTGTCAGGGTTTTTTCAACTCAGCTTTCTGCACATCAAAATGATATGTGCTCCCAGATACCCATGGATTTCTGGAGATAATCCATTCACTCAGTAGCAGCCCCCAGCTGCAGAAGGGGAGACAGCAGGTTGACTGTGTGGCAGTTTGACTGTGGAGCTAGGATCAGGCTCTGGGCTGGGGAGGAAAGGCAGCAGAAGCAGCAGAGACACAGCAGAGGATGCTCAGCTCTGAAGGGAAAGGCTCCCTCTCCTTTCCCTCAGCACGCGCAGGAGGGCTCTGCCTGACAAAGCTGAGAGGCTGGACTGACACTGAGCACTCACCAAGGCCCTGCTGTGTGCTGAGCACAGCAGCAGCAGCAGCCCAGCACACTCTGCCACACCTCACTGCTCAGGCCTGGGGCTGGGAACAGCTCCAGGGCCATCCCACAAACACAGATGCTCCTGACGCATTCTGAGGGAAAATATCCAGAGAGGACAGCAGTGCTGTCAGATTTAGTTCTTGAATTCAAAATTAATGTTTCCAAAATAATGATTTTAAATTCAAAAGACAGTTTGTCACTTTGGTACCTCTTGGTCCCCAATTTCTGGAACTCCTGGATTGGTTGCAATGTTGTTCTGTGCATGTTTCTCACTACTCTGCATAGGTATTAAAGATAGAAGTGAAGGAAGTTTGCAATCACATTCTAATACTTGTTTGCTACAAATTTTTTTTTCAAAGTTTTCCAAGAGCAGAACATAAGCCGTATTCTAATTCAATGATGCACACAAAAATTTGGGTTTCCCCGTTTAATAGACATTGGCCAGATTTACATCAGACCCAGACATTATTTCTGATTGGTTTTGTGGGCTGGATTTTGTTTATTATGTTACAAACTGAAGTTCAGGGGAACTTGTGACAAGTCCCACAAAGCACAGTGCAACATTTAGAAAGAAAAGTAAACGAAACTGCCAAACACTCAATCATTTTCTGCCAGAACTGGGATATTTTTCCTAAGACATCACTTTGAGGAGGGGGTTAAAATTCAATGAATGAACTCAAGATAGTGGGAACTGCAAGGAAAAATAAGAAATGACAGCCACAACCTTTTCAATTTAAGGGCAGAATAGAAGTCTAAGATATTTTTGATAAATTCTGACAAGAAAAAGAAAACAGCATACTTTAAAGTATATTGAAGCAGTGATTTTTAAACAAAGAAAGCAGAACTAGAACATCTTAAATTTTAATCCTTTCTTTACAGGTTACCTAGCCCACTTTTGATTAAGAAAACTGTAGAAAGTTAGTAACAGCCACAAGTTCACACCGAAAGGTGGCACTTGTCAATTTTCCATAGAGTCCTGCTTTACGGGGTGTCTCAAATGCACTGCTCCGATCTTCTATCACAGGCTGCTGACAGCACTTGTGTCAGGTTTTAGTCCACTGGTCGCTTTTCACCATATTTCTTTGTAAACTCTTCAGCGTTCTTACAGAATTTTTTACGGTCCTTAGAGTATTCTTCAGCTAGGTCAGCCCGGAGGGGGTGCTCGGGCTGTGGATCATTCACCAGTGCTATGAGGGACTGGATTACTGTCAAAAGAAGTACAAATACCGTCAGAGACTTAGATGGTTAATTTTCAAAATCAAAATGTAAGCAAAATTGCCCTGTAAGGAAAGAGCTTTAACTGCATTTAAATACATCCCCATAAATCTCGGGCCTTTTCAAGCGCAGGGCGTGAGTAAGCTGCAGTGATATGCCAAGATTTAGCTCAATGACCATGAATGAACACCAGAAAATTGTATTTGTAAACAAAATCAACATGAATAGAGACCAAAATGCACTACAAATGATTTCCCATGTAACTGGCATCCCATCTAAAATCTCTCCTATGGCTGAGAACAAATCAAAGCTCGCAGGTTCACTGAAGGGATTTGGTAAAGATGGAATTTGCACCATGAAGCATTTCCCAACACCTGTCACAGGGAGGCAGCTTGACTGACGGAGGGTTTCCTCTTCTGGAAACCCTTTTTTCCAGCTTCATTTCCCATGATTCTCACTTCTCCTATGAACAGCAGGCATGTCTTCCCTTTACTCTCAACTTCCCAAGGCAGCCACCAGCAGAGAGGCACTGGGCAATCAACGGGGTGAGAGTGGCAAGGTGCTCACAGCAATGCCACCCGTGGCCCTGTCCCTTCCTGAAGAAAAGCCACTCTTCAGGAAATGGAAGTGCACCTGACACACAGGGAACCTCACACCCCACAGTGCCACTTACTGCTACACTTTTCTCTGGGCAGGAATGCAACCTCATAGAATGATGATCATTCCAGCAGATGCTGGAACACCAGAGTGGCTTTGTTTGGGGCACTGATCTCAGTCTTTTCCACCCATGAACAAACCTCATAACAAATACTTAAAGCCATGCCCAAATCTGACATTTGTCTCTAAATTGCTAAACAGGAGTATTTGTTACCACAAATCCAAGTTTAAACTGCAACAAACTATCTAAGGAATGTAGAATTGATACCAGATTCCTTCACAGTAACTCACCAGTCCTGGCCTTACAACAACTGCCATGACATTGCTGAAAACAGCAGAAACACCAAGTGGCAATCCCTTCTCACTCAGCAAAGCATGCAAAAACACTACAGAGAAAATGTGTGCTCAATAACCTTAACAACAGTAACAAGCCAGAAAAAACAGGCCTGGCAGAACAGGAGCTGCCCCAACAGCCACGGAGCTTGAAAACTATCCTGCCATTAACAGTTATTTTTAATATTAAGCATAAATTAACAAAAAGTGCAGCAGTAAGATGCACATGTAGTATACAAAGGTAAGTTAGTGATTTATGATGGACTTAATCCCTTCACTTTTTTGACACCTATGTGAACAAAACCAATCACTTTGATGCTGTGCTAATGATGTCACATTATTTCATTAGGAAAAGCTAGAAGTGATTTTTTAGTGAAGAAGAAATCTGAAGGAAAAGGAATAGACATTTAAGCAGGGTTTTAGTAATATTGTCACAGGTTAATACAACCCTGCAGTAACACTAAAACAACTTGAAGAAAGAGTTAAGACAAACAAAAAACCACAACACAGCAGACCATGAGAGATTTGCAATATTTTGATAGCCAGGATTGGTTC